GAGGCTTGGAGATACAGTGTACATTTAATTAATTTCCCAATGATATTTTTCACTGGATGTACGGGAAAAAGAAGGAAGTCCGACGCTTTCTAAAAGGTAACATTTTCCCCGACTTCTGCGGCGCTTTTGCCTAAGCAGAATCGAGAAGGAACCCTCTGTCCATGATCCAAGAAGGAAGACGAAAGAAGAAGTTCAATCAAGAGCTTGCGAGGGTACTTCAAAATTTGTCACCTTCCGTTTCTCCTTTCCACATCCTCTCCCCTTTGCCATTTAGACCAAGGTTGCTAGGGTAAGAAAAGAGAGCTGGGTATCCCATCAATGCTTTTGAGCTTTGCGCTGCTATTCAGTTGTATGCTCACTAGACGATGAGATTGCCTTGTGGAATATTTATGTCGATGGTTTTTGAATTTTGAGATTGGCTCAGTTCAGTGGAACATGGCCGTTGTTCGCTGAGAAAGTAGTTGGCTCTAAAGTGTGTTTATGAGCATCCATACCTATTTATGGTAAAGATTGGGTAATATTAAGATGCTCATAGCACCTAATCACCAAAATACGGTACCAGAGCGTAAAGCTTAGTATTTAAGAGAGATGTCAGTATTATTATACACCATGACTTAATGCACCTAATGTCTTTTTTCTGTCTCTAAATCTTAGTTTGAAGCTTTATGTATCACGCTGAGATGTAAACTTGAATTTTTATTTTTCTCTTTCTTTTGGTCGTTCAAAATGAGCACCAATCCGACAATCAAATCTTCGACATGCCAACATAACCTCAAAACACATACATAACATGATTAAAATTTTAGAAATCTTTATCATACTCGTTTGGAATGGACAACCGTGCTCATCGGAGCATACACAACAGTACTACACAACATGCACGCGAATCACTAGAGCATAAATAAACAAACGGAGGACATAACGGGGAGGGGAAGAACAAGGCACGTTCACTCTCCGTGGATAAGACCCAACACGATAGGACAGAATACACTGCTCCATAGAAACATTCATAAATTAAATATAAGACCACATATGGTTCATATAAAATGAAACTGACTTTTGACGTGAGCAACATGCATCATCAGGCACTATTTGTTGTTTGTGGTAAACATGACAACATGGAAAAATTTGAAAATGTAGAGAAAATGCATGACAAAATACGCTCTCTAACTCTAGTTAAGTGAAATTAGTATATATTACTTGGAAGTGTAAGTAGTTGCACTATAGAGTTCTAAATATCACATTTTCTTAAGACTCCGGGATGGTGTAAAAAGGCAAAGTAAAGGAAGTGAAAACAGAAAAATTTACGATTCTATACATCCGAGATTTCATCTGGATTAGCTTCAAACACTGGGTTCTCCACCAGGATATTCTTGTCCTTTTCGGCCTTGTTGGGTCGTGGAGGAACGGCTGGTTTCACTGTGAGTTCCGCATTCGGTGCTGAATCGAATGAATGAATGGAGCGAATGAATGAATGATTATGCCCTTACCTATGACGTCATCACCGGTCCGCTGCGAACGGAAACTTGTTGCTCTTGAGGTTGATGGTGTATTCTCTAGTGAAACCATCTCTGTGCTATCCGTTTCTAGGTCATACACAGGATTTGAGAATGTAGTCGAACCAGCTTCAGCTGCTGCAATCTGTTGCATACTGTATTCGATGGGGTTAGGGTCCTGAAACGAAAG